TGAACTATGTTGTGTGGTGGCACTATGTGATGGACAACTATATTTTGTGTGATAGATGATTATAGGATAAGCAATGTTTATGTACATATCTATTTGTCTCTACATGTGAATGGTGGATGTTATTTTGGATGGCCATGTGTTGTTTCAAGTTGTTACTTTGAGATCTTGGCCATCATATTTTATTTTACTTGTTGTATAACATGTCATATTGCATCTCCCTTTTTCACGGATATTCACTTGTTCACATACACTTGTTGTACCCCACGGATTGCAAAATTTAGGGGGAGTTTCTATCTTAATATATGCAAGTGATGTTTTGATGATCATCATTGAAATTCAAATTCAATGCATATATTAAGGGGGAGCTCTCTATAAATTTTGGGGTTCAAAATCTTTAAATTCTTATATTTTTATAAAAGCCTAAGTTGGTTGTCATCAATGACCAAAAATGGGAAGATTGAAAGCACATTTGCCCCCTATGTGGGTTTTGGTGTATTGATGACATCTAAATTAGGGACTAATGAGATCTTAACGAGATATATTGTAGCTTTCGTCCCATTAAAGTTTCAAAGAGTTGATTTAAAATGAAATGGTATCCCTCAATTCTTCAAGTGCAAAAGGCGAACGAACCTAAAGCGCGCTTCAAGCATTTTAAATTTTGTTTTGGGTTTAGGTATGTCGTACTATAAAGAGGGATGCAAGTTTAGGTGGTCTGAGAAAGATAGAGTGCTCAAGCATAAAAATGAAATCAAAAGAGAGACATAAAATCACCTCACGAACACTTAGATATAGTTCTTGGACTTTTGGTACGCTGGGAGTTCCGGCCGTCGAAAGTTCTGGTATTTGGTGCCAGAAGTTCCAGCACTTGAGGACTTAGCTGTCAGCCCACCTGCGCTCGCTAGCCCATCGGAAGTCCCAACGAGAGTCGGGAGTTTCAGGTGCCGGAAGTTCGGCTCCCACCCGAAGTCCCAGCACTTTGGGACTTAGCCCCCTGGCTCGGCTCTGGGTCGGGAGTTCTGACGTGAGTCGAAAGTCCTGACTGCCGAAAGTTCCGGCATTCCACTAGAAGTTCCGGCTCCAGCTGTGCTGACCACCTTTTGACTGCGCCTTGAACAGTGTTTTACAGAAGGGCCGGAAGTTTCGGCGATCTATGTCGAAACTTTTGACCTAGATCTAAACGGTTGGATTTCACTATGAGTATAAATAGCTCTTTCCTCTCTTCTAACCATGAACCACTCATTCATTGCTCACCAGCCTTCGTCCAAAATAGCTCCCAAGCATTCAAGGCACCTCTCTCCTCTGCTCTCCCCTTTGCTCCAATCTTTGATTCCCATAGGGTTTTGAGTGAAAGGAGAGTGGATTGAGTGAGAGAATCACTTTGGCAAGCTTGAGCACTTGATTTCTTCGTCAAGCTGGTTGGATTTGCGTCTATTACTCTTTGGTTCTTGGAACTCTAGCCGATTAGGCATCGCCCAAGAGCTTCCATCTTGTGGAAGAGCCTTGGAAAGTTTGTATTACCCTTGATTTCTTAGTGAAAAGCTCAAGTAACCTTTGTGGTTGCTGAGAGAGGCAAGGAGGTGGAAGAGACTCCGACCTTGGTGGTCACCTCAACAACGAGGACGTAGGAGCTCCTTTGTGGGGTTGCCGAACCTCAGGATAAATCCTTGTGTCTCACGTGCTTGTTGTTGTTATGATTTGTTCTATCATATTTGTTCTTGTTGGTTTGTCTTCCTCTCCAACTCTCCTCTTAGGGTTTGGACTCGATCTACGGAGTGGTGACCTTCCGGCGTCAAAGAAGCAAACCCAACACTTCACCTTACCATTAGAGAGTGGGGTTGTAAGATATCTTTCACTCAAAGTTCATTTTAGCACTTGTAGTGAATTTCACGTAGGTGCCGAAACTCCCGGCTGTTTGCGTTGGAACTTCCGGCTGCCCGAAGTTTCGGCCCAAACAGTCGGAACTTCCGACTGTCACTGATATTTGACTTTGAATTTATGTAGAAATTTTTAGATACGCTTATTCACCCCCCTCTAGGCATTGTTTAGATCCTTTTATAAACACTAAATAAGCTGAAACACAAATGAAAGCAAAGGATGAAACTACAATAGCATCAAATTGAATGTATTACGTGGTATTAAAAATGTTTGGCCTAAAATTACTACAGCCTATCATGTAAAGTCCCTGTTGGGGGTATTTATATTTATAAGAAAGTACCATAGGGGTAGAAATACAATTACTAATGGTCCCCGGTCTACCTGCCATATTCCTAAAATATTCGTGGGTATTCTGGAGATTTTCCTCACACGGGGCAGTATGGTCAATCCTACGGTCGTCTTCTCTCGTGGCCACAATTATCTCCTGTGCGTGCCCTGCGCCTCTGATCCACCTTTTGCCACACCGGCGCCAACCACGTTCGGATGGTTTGCCTAGCATGCTTCTAATCCAACATCCGCTACCCCCGGGTTGCTTAGAGGGTACCTGAGTACCTCTGCGCTTACCACACTTCTGGTCCCACCTCTGTCGCACCAACGTCCGCTTCCTTGGTGGCAATGCCTAGTTTCTTGCAAAACTGAACAAGTCATGTACCTTCGACCAACTTGAAGATTACCCTCAGGTTGGTGGGAGTCGGTATTTCGAGGATCTCGCCCCAACAGAATGCATTTGTCTTTTTGTTGTGGAAAGTTTTTAATGGCGTTTAGACAATGGTTGGAACGTTTTGGAAATCTTCCATATTTTATGGATATTTTTCTCATTTTCTTAAAGTTAAATCTAATTTCTAAAAGTTTCTAGTATTTTAATGATTCATAAATATTTTATTTCAGTTTCTCATGTTTCGATCTATCTCTAAATAATTTTTTTTTCTCAAAACTTTTATAAGCTTAAAGATAATTTGTGGTTTATGAACATTATTAAGTGTCTAGTGAATTTTAGTTAAGAATAATAAAACCACTTCTATCCGGAGTAGGAAGGTGACTTAAATAGTTTTGAGAGTTAATAGAGGTAGTTTGTCTGGTGTTGAAGTCCGAAAAGGAATCCTAAACCATGGCCATAATTTAGAGCATCTCCAAAAGCTTTCTAAAATAATTCCCTAATTTATTTTTTGTCAAAAATAAAAAATCCCCTTCAAAATTTTTGAATTTGAATTTTTTTGAAGATAAGTACTACTTGGTAAACTTCTCCTCAGCTCATAAATATGCGCATGGGTTTTTGAGCCTTTTACCTATATACCATTATAAAAGATTAGAATTACCTGTGTGCCATCGAAATTTTCAAAAGTTCTTCACTACCATCAAATGAAATTTCTTTTCCCTTAGTGCCACTCCCGTCACTCTACCGTTTAATTTTAACAGAGCTGGGTGCCAATTAGATGCCAAATGACTCTTTTGCCCATCACTATTTCTAGTCAATCCGCGTCTGCGTGGCTTCTGGTTCATTCCGAGCTTTTCGTTCACCACCTGAAGGGAAACCCTAGAGCTCGTGGAATAGGGAGGCGCGGGCGGCCGAGCATGCGCGGAAGGAGGCGCGGCCGCGCGCGCGAGGGAGCATCCGCTCGGGCCTCGGAGCGTTGCGCGCGGGGCGCCAGGGCGGGCGCAGGAGATACGCGCCGGGGTAGCTTCTGCCGCCACCCTCGGCTGTCGTGGACAGGCCGCCACGTGCCAAGGCTGGTCGGGCCAGGGCAAGGCGCGGGTGAGGCCCGCCGCCGCCAAGCTCTCACGCCCATTCCCTGCCACCGGTGACCTCCAAGCCACCGGAATCGACGATTCCCGCCACCTCCTCTGTTTCCTGCGTCGAGAGGAAGAAGAAGAGGGAGTGGGAAAAGAAATAGAAACTTTAGCTGGGTCCAGATGCGAAACTCGTGACTCGTATGAACAGGTGTGAACAATGCTAGTTGACTACGGGTTGATTAGTGAAAGGTCCACGGTGCCTAGTGCAAAGTGCCTGTTTCTGGTTTTTCTTTTTCTTTTATTTATTACATATAATAATAGGGCTGAAATTTAGAAAATCCATAGCAAAGCGTAGAAAAAATGCTAAAATGGAAAATCCAGTTTTGTTGAAAAATGGAAATCTAGTTTTGCTAAAATGAAAAATGCATATCGATGATAAATTTGGACCTCTTTTATGTCTGAATGTACTTAATTTAAATACTTATTTTGGCTGTCGCAATTGTCAAATTTTTTGGATGTATCGCAAATTTACTGTATTTATTAGAATTTTTATGTGCACATATACAAGTTATTACAGTGAATTTTTTATAGCGGTATAGAGGAAAAAGTGAAGTTTTTTTGCAACACAGACGATTACAGTGGCACCAGGGGGAAAATCAAAATTTTGATGCATTCTACCACTAAGGGCAAAATCATCTTTTCGGTTGGCCGTTAGCTGTTGTTACCGGCAAAATAGACGGAAGTGGCATGTAGGGAAAAGAAGTTTCGTGCAAGGGTACAGGAGAACTTTTGAAAATTTCAATGGTACACAGGTAATTTCAATCTTTTATAATGGCACACAGGTAAAAGGCTCTTCCTCTTTTGGTATGCCTTCGGAAACTCACGGTTTTCCTCCCCTTCTGTCTGGTTTTTAATTTTTAGAAAGATAACCATTGTAATCTCTTGTATAAATTAAAAATATCTTCCTATTCATTTTGTTATACCATGTAATTTTAAAGTAGTTTTTGGAGATCCTTGTAGAGCAAAACATGATTTTTTTCCCCAATGAATTTCCCACTAGGTCCAACTACCTTATCTTCCCTCTCGGCCCAGGCCCAACTTCCTTGCATCCTCTTGAGCCCAACCAATACCTCGGAAGTCCACACGGCCCTACTCCCCCTCTTCGGCCTCTCCGGCGCGGCGCGCCGGACCTGCCCGCCGCCGCACTTCCCTAGCCATCGGCCATCGCCGCCAGTCCGCCACATCCACCCACGGGCCCACTCAACGACCTCGCTGCGCCCACCCGTCCGTCTCCATCCAGCTCAGCGGCCCCCGAGCCACCACCACCCGGCAACATGCCGCCGCTTCGGCCCCCGCCGCCGCGGCTCCTGCTCAACAACGTCTCGTGCATGCGGAACGCGCAGACGGTGCTCCGCGACATCAACCTCAGCGTCCACGACGGCACGGCCCTCGTCCTGACCGGCGCCAACGGCTCCGGCAAGACCACCCTCCTCCGCATGCTGGCGGGCTTCTCGCGCCCCTCGGCGGGGGAGATCCTCTGGAACGGCCACGACATCACCTCCCCGGGCGTCTTCCAGCAGTACAAGCTGCAGCTCAACTGGATGTCGCTCAAGGACGCCGTCAAGGAGAAGCTCACGGTGCTCGAGAACGTCCAGTGGTTCGAGCTCCTCGAGGGGAAGGACGGTAGCAGGTCGGGCCCGGCCATCGAGCTCATGGGCCTCGGCAGGCTCATGAACGAGAAGGCCAGGATGCTCTCCATGGGGCAGAGGAAGCGGCTGCAGCTCGCCAGGCTGCTCGCCATCGACCGACCCATCTGGCTGCTTGACGAGCCCTCCGTCGCGCTGGATGCAGAGGGTACCAGGCTGCTCGAATACATCATCGCTGAGCACCGGAAGAAGGGTGGCATCGTGTTCGTGGCCACGCATCTGCCGATTCAGATTGAGGATTCTATGTCGCTTCGGCTTCCGCAGAGGTTTCCCCGGAGGAAGACGCTAGTTGATCTTGTCCATTGATGTCAATGTGAGCACAGGAATTTAGCTGTATTCTCTAATTCCTCTCCAGCTATCTATCTGAATGGTGTTGGAGCAATATTTTTTACCGGTGCTGCATTTGTCATCCTATTTTTGACAACATGACAATACATTCTCTATGTTGATAATATGTGCGGTTGTTCTTTGTGATCACCGTTTTGATGTATTAGTCCATCTATTTGGGAACAACAGAAAGCACTTGCCATGTCTGATATACGTACGGCTGTTCTTTGTGATTATGATTTTGATGCATTGACCCCTTGTATATATGGACTTGCTGGTGGAAACTCTGTTGGCTGTTCAATGTCTAGCAGGTTTACTCATGCCTTGCATGTCCACGTGAAGCTTCAAGTGTTGGAGACTCGCACACTTGACCAAATTTGGGGAGACCTTTGGACAGGATCAGGTATAGATGTCTTGAGTAGAGTGTCTGTTTTCTCACATTCTTGTGCATTGACTAAGGTTGATTTCTTCCCTAACAATCTTGTTTTAGTCTGAATATGTTTGTAATTTTACAAATTACATATATTTGTGTATCTATTGCTGTCATTGGAATATATTCAGCAGAAGTGGTTGATTTTGCATTTCTAGTATGTGCTGTTGTGTTTAACTCATTTACAATGTCCCTTTATTTTACTACATTCAATAACTACCATCAAATTGGTTTAGGCCACGTCGACAAAATTTGGAGCCCACTGGACAGAATCAGGTAACTGATTTCTGGTTTAGGAACATCTGTTTTCTCACATTCTTGTGCATAGGTTAAGGTTGATTTCTGCCCCAAGAGTCATGTTTAGTCTGAATATCTTTTTAATTTTTACAACGTATAAATCTTTGTGCAGCTATTGTTGTCATCGCAGTATATTCAGTAGAATTGGTGGATATAAATAACGTTTGGTCTATATTTAATAGCTATCCAAGACTGCCTCAGTTTACTTATCCTTTGCAGTTATCATGGGAATCCTCTGCACAATCAGAAAGTACTGTTATTAATCTAGAAATTTGGCAGATATTAAAAATTTATCGTGATTGAATTTACGCTAATCATTAATCAGTTGCAAAGCACAAATGAAACTCTATTGCTGATTGTTCCAAAGAAGAACTGGGAAAATGGGTATTTTTTAAGTGAGTATAAGTCAGCATAGGCAGTACCTTGCAGGTTTATCTAAAGGTTATTGATCAGATATTTAAAAAGGTATCAAAATCAGCCAACTGGAATTTTGTTGAGAACTACATCTACTTTGCAAAGTGTATGTCAGAGCGGAATAAAGAATAGGTGGATATCGTCTCCATATCAATTTAGTCATGCAAACTATTTTTTCAGTGACTGATTCGCAGATTGTCATGCATATTTTGTGCACCTGTACAAAATGAAGCCACAATAGCATTGTTTCATTGGTGCAATGTCTACTTGGTTATTCCGTGCTTCCACTCATTCATGTCTGCTGGAAAAAGATTCTAATTTATTGTAAGGCCACAGTCCCCCCCCGGCCCTTCCTCCCCTACGTACCATGTATTGCCATTAAATTTCTGTGTTTTGTACTATTTACTAAACTGTTTCAGGTGTCGATCTATAGCATGCTGTTCAGTACATTGCATTCATTTACATTTTTCTGCCAAAAGTACGTTTTCTCTTTCTTGAATATAATATTGAAATATAATGGTAATAAAGATTCTTATAGAGTACTCATTCTTACATATATGTATCTGTTGTTATTAAGCTAAACTTTTCACCAATAATTGAAATATAGTGACTCTGGATGGAAGCAAAGGCTGGTATAGAAGCAGGGTGAGTTATTCCTAGGAAGTTGGAATGAGAAAGCAAAGGCTGATATAGAAAGCAGAGTGAGTTATTCCTAGGAAGTTGGAATGAGAAATTGATGTTGCAAACAAGTGTCAACCATGGAGAATAGATCAATACAAATAATCTATGTATATCTATGCAAATTTGTGTTCATGCTATGGGTTTAATATATGGTTTTACCTGCTAACTTCTAGTTGTTCCTACTTAAGCTGAACGTTGTCTTTTATTATCATTCTGGACATATTATCCTTGTATAATATGTACAGCAGCTCGAGACAATGTGATTCCTTATTCTAATCATTTGCTTCTTTCTAAATATTAAGGAATATTATCTGCTGAAATGTAGAGATACATCATGCAAAAGAAAAGAAAGCCAAAAAACAAGATAAATCCTACAGAACATTGTATATTCATTGCTGACATGTTCCTGTGATTTCCATCTGAAATTCTTTCTTTACGTGGTTACTGCCTTGGTGATTGTAAGTCAAATGATTTGATGTATGCATTCGGTATACTATCTGTCCTGTGTTAACTTTCAGTACTACACTGGTGCAGGCTGTAAGAAAAGGGCAGTGAATGCAGCAGAAATAAGTCTCCAGGGACCATTGGAGGTGCTCTCTGACCCCATTCTGGAGGTTGCTGGTCCACTATTCAAGACAAGGTATAAATCCACTTCCCAGGTCAGCATGGAGCCACCAATGCTACATAAATACATGTGTTATTATGCTGTATTTTGTTTGGTTGTCACCGCTTCTCTATAGGCCTCAATCTAGAGTTTTCTAGGGTCGAATCTTTGTACAATGCAGAAGTGTTTGAACAAATCATTACGTTGCAAATGATCAGGTTTTGCCTGGATCCTGGTTAAGTTGACTGTTGCTCATTCTATATTCAAAATGAAGATGATCTTTTCGTGGATGAAATTTGATAAGAATTTTGGGGCATCTGGCCCAGTTGGAAAGCTTCTGCATGTTTACTGACTTAATATTAGATTGTTTTCTAGTGCCCCTACCTTGTTATTGTCTCTTCAGCGAACAATTTCTATTCTTTCGTCTTTTATTATTCTGTATCAGTGCAAGACACCAGAGTTAAGATGAGTGATGAAATTACTGAAGTTTAACCTAGACTGCCTTGGCATGTGAAAATTCATTATTGTAGACATATTGTCACAATTAGTTAATACTTATTAGGGGTTTGTGGATGTGGAAAGAGTGTGATGTGAAAGGGTAGGATATAAGCTCCAAAAGTAGAATGCTAGAATCACTTGTAGCAATATGAAAGGGATACTTCAGAAGAGATGCCTTTCGTTTCTTGAAAAATTGCAGTGATTGTTTCTGTACTCTTGGAAGTCATGAATATAGTTCGGAGTAATTTTCATTCTAGTAAATCTTCTTTTAAATTTCCTTCATATCTTACGAGGTAGATTTATCTCCTTTTACTATTCTTGGCAGAACAATTATTTTAATTATGTTTTTTGTGGAATAAAGAGAAAGAGAAAGAGAACTCGTTTGACTGGAAAGGGAAATTCCAAGATCCAAAGATATACAAGTTTTAGATAGCAGGTTAGCACCTGAACAAGTGAACAGTGAACATTGGTTTTCCTTTCCAGCCTAACTTCTGCAACTCCAAATGCAGATTGGTTTAGTTTCATATAAACTCAATATTTACTGACTTGCTAATTGGTGTATAAACATGATTGGTTTAGAAGGGCAGGCCTGGTGCAGTGGTGAGAGCTGTCTCACTAAGTCACCAGGTCGCGGGTTCGAAGCAGCCTCTCCGCAGATTTTGCGGGGGGAAGGCTTGCCTCGGTTTTTCCCTTCCCCAGACCCCCCTTATGTGGGAGCCTCCGGCACCGGGTCTGCCCTGCCCTTTTATAAACTCAATATTTGTCTTTGCTAATGCTGATAAACCTTTGGATTAATTGGCAACTTAGTGTTGATTTGGATAGTTGAAACAGTGTTGGAGTTATGTGGTTGTTTAATTCAACAATGGATTAGAAGGGAATACGACAATGATGCCTAGAGTATATTTATGGCACTAAAACAAATGTTTGCTGGCATTCAAGTGTCATGTTGATTTTGCTTTAAAGGATGATGATCAAAAGGGGGGAATTTCTGTTTGTGCTTGTGCTTAAGAAAACAAACATGGGCCCAACCCCTATAAATACTGCCAAGTGAAATTAATCATCATGCCATCCTTTTGTTAGGACTCTTTAAGACTGCTGCCTTTGACTATTACATCAAACATTTAAGCACAGGCTTGGAATCCTATACCATTCCTTAAAGGGAGGCAAAGAGTGTGCGCCCAGAGAGGGCCTTATTAATACCTATACTAATGTGAAAAGGTGCAGTAAAGTGGTTGATCCCCCAAAACTCTATGAGTGAGACACGGGGCATAAGTCATAATGTATTGCTGCTAGAACCTTCTCTCTAGGGCATACTGTAATAACTGCAGGAACTCTAATATCAATACCATTCTGTTTCTGGAAGAAATTATAATTGACATTTCTACTTCAGCCAGAACAATAATACAATCAAGTGAGTCCCACATGTCAACGTCAATGTGACATTATTGATAGCACAACTGTTCAAGTTTAATTTTTGTTTGGCTTGGGAAGCAATGCTTGTATCCTTTTCATCTAATCAGATTGATCAGTCATGGTTAGATGATATCATGGAAAGGATGTTTCGATGCCACAAAACTTCTAAAAAATGTTTGTTCGATAAACCTGTAGTCGTAGCTTTACGCAATGGTGGTTTCTGCAGTGTACAACAATCCGTTGTGTAGTATTTATTTATTGTAATGGTGACACATAGCAGTAAATATAGTTTGCACGCAAAGAGAGAATTGTTAAACTGGATTTAGGATTGACAATTCCTGGTTATGGGTCTCATAACAGTTCCTGCAGTAGTATGTATTCATTTTTGAATTTCGATGAAGGAAAGAAGAATACATGCGCGATAATTAGAAGTTACTTGTCATGCACTACATCCATGGGTTAACCATGTGGGAAGGAAGAAGCCATGGTGTGCTGGTGGATGGAGAAAGGTGCAAGTTTCACTTTCTATATTTTATTGTTCTCCTTCATCATTGAATATTTCAATTCTTGATAGGAAATACTTATCGTTTGGAGCAAGTTGCACTCATGAGTGGTAGGTATCACCATCATCATGGCGTAAAGCTAGGGTTAGTTAGAGGTTTCTCTATCTGAGAGACTGGCGTGCCTAGCCAACCTCACACTTAGCGGTTTCTCCTGGAAATTTCCATCACTGTTTGCAGAAATTGAAGAACCAGCTGCATGAGTTATCATGCAATAAAAAGAGGGAAATATAGAGAAATATAGTTGTATTGCAAATGCCTGCCTTTCTAGGATTAGTAGACATTTGTGATATTCATAGGTGGTATGGTTTTCTTGTTGATGAGTGTTGCTTGTTGATTTACATACGTTGCATCGATGCGCCTTACATGGTATCTGAAAAGTATCTGTCGCCTACAGTTGTATGGTTGTGTTATGCTTGCTAAGTGCGAATATCTTTCTCCACACACTAAAACTGTACATATACATAGATTCTACGGCATAGATTAGAGCCACAAGTGTAAATTGAATCATAACTTCATAAGATTTTATCATTGAGTTGTAAGTAATTACATTATGTCACCTATATCATAACAATCCCTGTAGGCCCTCCATCACTCCATGGCCGGTGGCAATGAGTGGTCCCACTCCAGATGGATTTCATATAGGTATGAAAATATTTGAAACTAGCACATTGAAATTAATCAACATAGGCAGCTATGTTAAGCAAGTAGACTAGACATACTAATGGATATAACCAACCGTATGCATATACCACATATCTGTAATGTTGTAATCACTAATCAGTAGAACATATGAAGGACAGACTCCTTTCCTTGGACTAAACAAACAGTCCAAGTGCAGGAGGTTAGAGAAACTCTGAAAAGGATGAAAGTGGGTAAAGCGATGGGCCATGATGGTATCCCGATCAAGGTGTGGAGGTGTCTCGGGCATTTAGCTATAGTATGGGTTCAATAATATCTATCGATCGAACAAGATGCTTGAGGAGTGGAGAAGAAGCATATTGGTACCGATCTACAAGAACAAGGGAGACATCCAAAGTTGCACTAATTATAGGGGAATTAAGTTGATGAGCCACACGATGAAGCTGTGGGAGAGAGTCATCGAGCATCGACTGCGAGGAACGACACGGGTATCTACGAACCAATTCGGTTTCATGCCCAGAAGGTCAACCATATAAGCAATTTTCTTAATAAGACAAGTTATGAAGCGGTTCAGGGATCAGAAGGACCTACACATGGTTTTCATTGACTTGGAGAAGGCTTATGACAAGATACCAAGGAATGTTATGTGGTGGACGTTGGACAAACATAAAGTCCCAATAAAGTATGTTACCCTCATCAAGGACATGTACAACAATGCCATGACTAGTGTTCGAACAAATGATGGTAACACAGATTACTTCTCGATTAAAATAGGACTTCATCAAGAGTTAGCCTTGAGCCCGTATCTCTTTGCCTTGGTAATAGATGAAGTGACAAGGGACATTTAAGGGGATATCCCTTGGTGTATGCTTTTTGCAAACGATGTGGTGCTAGTTGATGAAAGCCAGGTAGGAGTAAATAGGAAACTGGAGTTACGGCGCCAGACCTTGAGTCCAAAAGTTTTAGAGTAAGTCGAACTAAAACAGAATACATGAGATGCGACTTTGGCAACGCTGCACATGAGGAGGGAGAGGTGAGTTTGGAAGGTCTAGTGGTGCCTAAGAAAGATACCTTCCGTTATCTAGGATCGATGCTACAGAAGGATGGAGATATTGATGCAAATGTTTGCCATAGGATCAAAGCAGGGTGGTTGAAGTGGCGCCAAGCATCTGGCATACTCTGTGACAAGAAGGTACCACAAAAGATTAAAGGCAAGTTTTATAGAACGGCGATTAGACCCGCTATGTTGTATGGAGCATAATGTTGGCCTGCAAAAAGACGACATGTCTAATAACTGAATGTCGCGGAAATGCGTATGTTGCGTTGGATTTGTGGTCACACAAGGATGGACCGAGTTCGGAACGATGATATACGTGATCGTCTAGGGGTAGCACCAATTGAAGAAAAGCTTGTCCAACATCGGCTGAGGTAGACCTTCAGAGGGACTAGTGCAATGTGGAGTGCTAAGTCGAGATATCAATGTGAAGAGAGGTAGAGGAAGATCGAAGCTGACATGGGATGAGGCAATTAAAAGAGACTTAAATTGGGATATACCTAGAGATCTTTGTTTCGACAGGAGTGCTTGAAAAGCGGCTATTGACGTGCCTGAACCATGATTAGGGACTCATGCTGGGTTTCAACTTTAGCCTACCTCAACTTGCTTGGGACTAAAAGGCTTTGTTGTTGTTGTTGTTGTATGAATATAGGTATTGTGATCGGCAAAGATGGCCAAGAAAGCATGTTGTGTGGGCTACAGCTGTCTGCAAATTACTCTAAAAGTTGACCTTCACCCAATCAATTCCTGTAATGCTGCTTGTAATAAATCTTGGTCCATTTTATTCTAAACCATTGATGGGTTTCCCGTGTAGCAACTTAGTACTCGGGTCTATTGATTAGCCATCACTTTCCACAATCAGGTGCTTTAAGTTTTTGGACCTCCCACATCAGTTTAATTCTGATGTTATCTGTACAATGGCAATCTGTGAGGCAGTCCTTTTAACTCTCGTAAGACGTTGCAGTTAAGAAGTCCAATAAATTATGCAACTGATGTCAGTTATTATGGCTCGTGAAGGAGTTTCGTTTGTGTTGACAGGACTTGTAGAAAATATTTGCTCAGGGAGCTTGAATCCAAGGAAAGGCAGCTATGGGTGGTGGGGAAGGAGAAGGACTTGGGAAGCATGGCCCGTGCTGCACTGAACAAGAGGAATGGGGAAAAAAAAAGGAAGATCACAAGCTCTCATAACAACACCCCACCAGAAACCAACAAGTAAGCACTTTTGATTCTGTTCTTTGACAAAATAAAATCCTAGTTCCTTCCAAACGAAGCCTAAAGATGATATCATTAGTCAGATCATCGTCCCGTCTAGCTTTCTGGCGCTCATTTCTTTGTTTGACATTGAGTGCACACATTTGACCGTGATACCGTAACCTGGTTATCAGGCGGCAGTACTGTATTATTGTTGAAACTGAAATCCGATTGCTAGGTACACTAAGCACCTAACCCAGCTTAGTTGAGTAGCTTGCAGTTGACTCTCATAAATGAGAGGAGATTGGAATGATCAACACTCATGCTTCATTCCCATCTTCTTGTGCAGAGAAGGAAGGAACCCTTGCACAAGGACTCTCTGGTCCGACTCCGACGGGTGCAGCTGGACGGGACCCTACATTGTAAATGTGCGCTTGTCTCGGTGCTCAGATGGTCAGTATGGGTCCATGCACACATGCCCTAAGATTGATGCAATGTTGATGGTGACCAGTGACAGTGAGCCCCCCACACAGGGCAGGCAGGCAGGCAGGCGTGCAGCGTCCTTGAACTGAATTGAGACGGAGGAGAGGAGAAGCCGGGTGTCACTGGCACTGGGCATGCAGGCGATCTTGTGAAGCACAAGCACGTTCGGGTGGGCTGAGGTTCTAGATGGCGCGTGTGCGTGTGCGTGTGTGTATGTACTGGAGATCTGGAGAGGGGGGCGAAGGCGCGAAGCAACTGATGAACTGAATTTGCGGACAAATCTGGAGGCCGAAAGGCGTCATTGGGGTCCCGATTGGTTGGAAGACGGCAGCTTTCTGCAGATGCCGGTGTGTTCCTTCTTGACCAGGGGTGTTTGTTGGTTGTTACAGGCGGCATGGTGCGTGACCGAGTCTGCTCTGGCGTGCTCTGGCGTGCAGGAGGGTGTGAACCTGTGAGGTGAGGTGACCGACCGTCGCCGTTGTCGTGGGAAGGGCTCTCGGGGGCTCGGGGCACTGCATTGCTTTGCTTTGCTTTGTTACCTTACCTTTCACTTGGTGTCAGTGTTTGATCTCATCTGAAGTTATTAACTTATTTCACAGGAATATGCCATCTGAAGCTGCCACGATGCAAACTTTGAGGCGGTATCTCGTGTACCTGTAGATTCCCAAGAAGGGTGATCTTGTACGGAACAAGAACAATGTGTAAACTCAATTGATTAAGTAATCAGTACTACCTCCGTTCCGAAACAGTTAATTTTGGGTTTGGGTTGAGTCTCAACTTTCTTGATCTTAACTGATTTTATAGAAAACATTATTAATATTATGATTCCAAACTGATATCCTATGAAAATATATTTCATTATTAATCTAATGATACTACTAGTATTCGATATTATAAATGTTAGTATTTTTACATAGATTTGCTCAAATTTTAAAATATTTGACTACTCAAAAAAATAAGAATTGTATCTTTGGGAAAGAGGGCAGAGCCATTCTTCTTCTTCCACTCATTTATGAGCTCGCTTGACACTACCGTGAGGCAGTAGTTCAGAATTTTTTTTTAAGAAAGAACGGTAAAAGCTTTGCCGTAATTTTTATTAAAAGAAGAAGAAAAAAAAAAGATAACAGTAGTAAGGACGCAGATTCAGTGGATTAACCGGACTAACGGAGGTCGATGGATCATGATCATGCAGCCACTGATGATGCGAGGTCGTTTGACCCTTTCCGAGCTTATTAAAGTGATTCGGTTGAAGTCCATGCAAGTCTCCGCACAGATGCATGGAACGAACGTTTCAAAGCGCAGCTTGTGTTTCAAACTGAGTCAACGCCATCCACGAAATTTTGGGGAACCTCGTAATCAGACGAACTTTTTGGCTTGTTCCTGTGGTAAGTGCGTATTATTTTGACGTTTACCGTTGCAGCTAGCTAGCTATGTGGCACACAGTGGTAGGCACGTTTCAGGTCGTATCTATATGGCTCGTCTCGTATATAGGAGTACGATATCAGGACCTTTTGACGATCACACGAGAAAGGGGTGTTTGGATTCGGCGACTAAAATTGAGGAGGTGTCATGTGAGGGTGTCGTATGAGGTATTCGGATACTAATAAAAAAATAAATTACAGAATCCGTCAGTACTCCACGAGACGAATTTATTAAGCATAACTAATCCGTCATTAACGTATGTTTACTGTAGCACTACATTGTCAAATCATGGACTAACGCCCTGTTTGTTCCCAACTCCTAAAATTAGACAGCTAAACCACCTCCTAAAATTTAGTCAGGCAGTGTTTGGTTTGGTGGACTAATTGCGACTAAACTTGACATGTGCAAGTTTAGGATGACCAAAACGCCCCTAAGCTCCTGCCCCTGGTATTTGGCGGGCGGGGAAGGGGAGGAAGGACCATCGGCTGGCAGAGAAGGGGAGGAAGGAGAACTGGCCGACGGAGAAGGGGAGGAAGAAGTGCCTGCTTGCCGGTGAGCTCTAGCGAGATCCGGTCAAGATGAGCTCGACGCGCGAGATCCGGTGAGCCCCATCCCTAGCGCGCGCGGCCGGCCCGGTAAGCTCCGGCGAGATCCGGCGCTGTCCTATCCCCAGCGCGTGCAGCCGGCATGGTGAGCACCGGCCACGGGCAGTGGCGGCGCCAAGGGCTCCGTCGTGCGTGCGTGCCTGGAGCCCCGGTCTCGAGCGGGTAGGGCGAGCGGCTGGGCGGGTGGTGCGGCGAGCGGCTGAGCGGGTGGCGATGGCCACGGGCAGCAGCGACTGCAGGGGCGAAGCCTGGCCGCAGGATAGGGTTGGTGCTCAGGACAGGACAATTATGAGGGGCACCACCTGTCCAGGTGGGCTTTTAGTCCCTTTTAGTAAGCTTTGAGTGACTAGTTAGCTAAATATCATTTAGTCATATTTAGTCAAAGTGTTTGGTAAAAAAGTTACTAAAAGGACTAAAAGTATTTAGTCAAAGTTACTAATTTGCGAGACGAATGGTGGCCGGCTGGCTGGCCGCCTAGCACTAGCAGCTAGCAGCCTGTTCGGGAGGCCGTATCATATCATGAATTATTCACTGCTGATTAATTTAGTGTGAGAGAAAAATACTATTGCTGACTGGAAATTTACGATCGTTTACGAGCTTCGCTCGGCAGCCCGAGCTCTCCTGCGCTGCGCTGCGATCGAGGGTCGGGTGGGGTGGGTGCCCACCTCACGCGGTGTTGCTCAGAGGCCATTCAATGAGGGCTGCGCCTGCGCTGTGGAGAGAGGCTCCAGCTCACTTCGCGTACTCTCCGGCTCACCCGCATCTACCTTCGGTTCCACTCTCCACTGCCGCCCCGACGTACCGTACGTACGATACGTAGAGGCAAAAAATTTTGACACAAATGCATATATGTTGCTTTCGACGACGAAAATCGATCCACAGTCTATTTTTCACCATAATATTGAACTATAATATATTCTATCCATTCAAATTACAGTGTACTTTGACTTTATTTCAAGTCAAACTTGGTTAGATTTGCGTGCATGTGTTTATAGAAGAAGTTATGCACGTGTTTGTGTGGTCGTCTAAGTATGCACTACACAATTTTAAAAATAATTTGACCAAGTCTACAAAAAGCAGTTCAACATTTACAAAATCTAATAAAATTCACCATGTTTCATGTTTCAATAGTGTGTTTATTTGAACTTGTACATGTCAATATATACTCCCTCATTTTTCAATTTATAAGCCCCCCACCATTTCGGATGGTTTAATTTACCCTTTAAAAATCAATACTTTTTTCTCCACATATAAATTGAGTTTTAATTGCAAATTTGTGAGGTGATATAGGCATATAGGATATTATACTTTATGTCAAAAAAACATGTTAAAAATTTCCTCATTGTTTTGATAGGTTAGGTAACTTAATAATAAATTACATTATAGATACAAAATTGAACAAAATATGATGACAAAAATTATAATGTACTCCCTCTGTCTCCCCAAAAAGTGATGTTCTAGAATTTTTCAGACAGATTATGGAGAAGAGAAATGTCCCTAATATCCTTAGTATGTTACACATGATTCCATTAAAAGAAGAGATGTCGTGTGGTTTACTTCCTAATTAAGACGTGTTGCATACAAGCATGTATAGATCCGAGGGAGACAACAAACAGTAGCTTATCTCAATTGGTGATTTGGCGCCGGATCTGTTGCACACTTACAACATGTCTAAAATTTAGAACATCATTTTTTTCTAGGACAAATTTAAATCACAGAGCATCATTTTTTTGGGACGGGGGAGTACGTAGTTTTATAACACAAAACATGAGGCTCTTTATTATCTCACATAATTTCAATTTAAAACACAACTTGTACGTGGAGAAACAAAAAAAGACAAATTGTTTTTAAGTTGTAAATTAGACCAACAAAAATACTCGGGTAGAAAATTGAACCAAACATTATTCTAGTGGTTATCTGGACATAGGTCAAATTAAACATGAAGGGACTACTTTGGACTTTTCCCATTTATAAAACCTGATCAAAATTAGAAAGGATTGATTTAGGAAACATGCAAGTTAGCTATAATTTAAAACAGAGGAAGTACTGCTTATTTTTATGTACTACTAAACATGTTAAATGGGCATTTATAGTTGTATAGATTTCCAAATAGTAGTTTTCATTCCAAATGCCATGTCCTACTTACTTTTGTTGAAAAACTAGCTCTCCATGTGCAAACACGACTACACAGTGGGCACCACTCGGCTAGGGAAGCTCCCGGGCAAGGATCCGAGTAAAACACTTGCCAGTTTGCCACTAACGGCAGGAGGCTATAAAAGTCAAACGGTAAGAAGCATTATAGGATGCTAAATAGTATTATTGGCTTGGTCAAACTACATGATCAACTACCTAAATAGTCCATCCGTCCACACGAAAGAATGCAATTATAGGATATGTGCCGATCAAACTAACTCAAGTTTGACCAAGTCTATTAAAAATAATATTAGCATTTATGTCTTCAAATAAATTTATTATAAAAATATATTCTATAACTAATCTAATGATATTTATATTGTATCAAGAATGCTAGTATTTTTTATATAAATTTAGTCAAGTTTAAATTATTTAACTTTTTTAAAGCGGGAAGTGCATTCTTTTATGGACAGGGTGAGTACTACGCATCATGCTCATGAAACAAACACTCTTGAGTTCAAGATTTGGCCCGAGCTATTCAGCGAATTACCATGCATTGCACACCCTTTCGCCACTTAATTTGTTCTCAACTATTTCAATTCTAACAAACAGAGGCAGTTAGGCCAAAGGCTCCGTTCGGCTTACCCCATATTCGGCTTGTTTTTTCAGTTGGAACAGTGTTTTTCTCTCACAGCAACTCAGCCGGAACAGTGTTTTTCAGCCAAGATTCAGACCAGCGAACGGGGCCAAAGTCGTAGCGCATACTGTAGTTTTGAAGTAGGACGAGACAACTTTAGCTAGAAGTCTGTTTACAGTTAATTCAAGTGTTAGGATTAAACTTATTCATCGTGTTGTCGTGAAAAATTTGTACAAATAGCGGCATGACAATGTTTAAAATTTTATTGGCGATTTTTATGGAATCTCCAAGAGTGTAGGTACTACTACACTTTTACAAGGATCTCATTTTAATGAAGACTACATTCACAGTTCTTGATTGATGAAATAAGTTGAATTTGTTAATTAAGCATGTGCAGTGGGGTTGTTTTTCCTGCGACAAAACAAATAGGGGTGGGCATTTGCAAGTTACAACAAAATGACTTAATGGAGGACAAACTCAGACTTGTTTGATTTGAGGAATAACCACTCCATTCTAACGAGGTGGTTCATTATCTATCTTTTAAATTTGGTAGAATAATTTCATTCCTCGTATTAGTTAATAGTAGTACTAATTATATATATTAGTACGTGAGAAATGAGGTAACGATGGATCAACTCATTGTACTTCCACAAAGCTAAATAAGAAAGAAAAGAGTGTGGGAAGATGATGGACTAACTAATTTCTCAAACCAAACACTATGAGTTATGATTTTGTTGTTGCAATTTTCCCAAAGAAAAGGAATAAAACGGAAAGTGCGAAAACACAAGAGGACGATGTTTGATGCACGGCCGGTCAACAACAAGCCAACAGGGCAACAGTGCATCCATATATGGACCAAGAAATTTAAGTTGGACATTGGGATTCGTTCACACACGGTTTGCAGGTATACGTAGGATGGACGACGGATCGTCGATTCGGTTCGTTGCGAAAAAGACAAACGAGTTGAGGATGGCAATACCGCCAGGCCAGAGGAGGAAGATCGCTAGTGACAAAAATGAGCTTATTACTCCACAAATGAACACATTGATGAATGATGATGGACGTGCATGCCCACCGTACCCCTTGTTATTTGGTATAGGTTTGCTCCTGATTATATACGGTTAATTAGTTCCGCTGCACTTGAATGACGGTACGTGCTAATATAACATTTATTTGTTTGGACTTTTGACGTTACAAAACTTGAATGTGTTTCTCCCAGCTTGAGCTGTGTGTCCTGGAGTGTAACAATAGAATTTCGTAAAAAAAGATATATATACTCCTATATATACATGGCACGTTTTCTTTTTTTATTTGGGTCTCTCGTACGTGATGAGGCATTACATGACAAAATAGGTTTATTTGAGAAGTTACTCCAGCTACACCGCCATTTACTATTTTACTTTGCCAAGTGGTCGAGCCATGTTGTTATGCAAATGCAAAATACATCTTTAAAGTTTATTTTTTATTTGCTTTTAGTTCCTTTTTACGAAACGTCAAGTTGCGCGGACATATTATCACATTGAACGCATGCTAGTTTATATCTGGCCAAGATAATGGAAGATTGCCGATTGCAATATAGATTTTGATTATCACGTCCTCCTTTTACTAAAAAAAATCACTTCCTCTACTAAACATGGATGCTCACATTTCCTCTACTAGTAGTAATCTTTCACTGCTTACTTTGCGGGGTGTTTGTTTCCTCCTCCTAAACTTTAGTTCCTGTCACATCGAATATGGTTGGACACTAATTTAGAGTATTAAACGTAGATTAATTACAAAACTAATTACATAGATTAAGACTAATTTATGAGACGAATCTATTATGTTTAATTAGGCTTATGTTTAGTCCTTCTAATTAGTATCAAATATTTGATGTGACACCTCCTAAACTTTAGTCCATCAATTGTTAATTTGTGAGCAGGAAAAAGCTGTTTTTCTTATGCAAAAGATGGGACCCACACGCAGGCCAAGAAGCCGTGCCGTGCCGAGGCATCAAAACAGTACTGCTACTCCAGTACTGCATGCACTCGGCAGCAGAGTGAAGCATGCATCGTTCTCTTCGCCCGTTCTTCTGGAAATTCAGAACTTTTTTTAAAAAAAGAGAGAAAACCCTTAACCAAATTAAATTGGATCATTTGAACGGACATCTTGCCGGCCGTCTGTTGTATATGTTGCAAATGGGAATTTTGGAAGCCCTTCCTCGAGTCTTTTTAACCTTGCATTATTCATTGAAAAGTCCCTTTTGAGTTCTTGTTAAAACACCCATTTCTTTACTTTTAACTTATTTCCTGGCGTCATAAATTACTGCTACACGCCAATAGTGCATCCATCCATGCCGAGAGGTTTGATTCGATCGTTGAAATTCCTTATACTGCCATGTAATCACATGGCAATAGCTAGCAGCAAGTTTAAAATGTTTATTTTCAAGCAGCAAAAGATAATGTGCATATATCACTAGTGGAGGGACGAGCTTTACTCCCGGTGGAGAACCCCCTCTAGTCCCGGTTCCCCACCCGGGAGTAAGCATCTAAAGGGGGTCCTTTAGTTCCGGGTCGGGAACCGGGACTATAACACCAACCGGGACTAAAGGTCCTCCCAGCTTTAAAAAAATAATGCCTCCCACCGTTGCGTCCCGTGAGATTCGAACCCAAGACCTCATGCATTGCCTCGCGCAGAGCTTACCACCCCACCTACACAACACATCTAACAATGGATGGGATGCTTCTCTTTTGAACTAACCCATCGGGGTTGGAGGACTTTTAGTCCCGGTTGGTGGCTCCAACCGGGAGTAAAGGTCTACCTTTAGTCCCGGTTGGTGTCTCCAACCGGGACTAAAGGTCCCTGCGCTCGGCACAGTGACAGGGGACCTTTAGTTTTGGTTGGAGACACCACCGGGACTAAAGGTCTCTCTAGTCCCGGGCGCAAAAAAAAAATGTCGGAACTAGAGCCCATTTTAATCTCGGATGAAAGATCTGTTCTGTGCTAGTGTATATATGTCTATCCCGTGCATATTTCGAGCCAGACATTAATTACACAGCAAATTCAAAACCCAAAGTCCCACTGGGAGTACTACTAGTAGTCACTAGTCAGTCAGCAATTTGCCGGGCAATGCTGTGTTAACATGGCTCTTATCCTCGGCTAGAACTGAAGAGACGCTATGTATATCCATGGTTAGCTGGAACCTTCCTCTCTCCGTCACTCAGTAATTACGCCGGTTATCTAATCTTAAACATTTATCGACTGCGTATTATTTATCCAGAAAACGTACAAGCACTGCCAAAGTATACCATTCCACGATTAATTGACTATAAGGGCACCCGCATGATATAGCTTTTACGTAACCTTAAAATGTGTGTAAGAGCTTAGCTCTTGATTAAGAGCTAATTTTTCTCTCTCTATTATTAAAATATGAGAAAAATGGTTAGAGTTAGCTTAAAAACCAATTGTTGGAGCTACTCTAATAAGACAATTGAAAAATAGACCGATATTACTCTCTACGTCCACAAAATTAGAATGCAACTGTGGGATCCATACCGGTCAAACTAGTTTAAGTTTGACTGAATTTATAATAAATAGTATTAGCATCTATATCTGCAGACAAATTTATTATGAAAATATATTCTATAACTAATCTAAAGGTAGTACTTATTTTGTATTATAACTGTTAATACTTTTTATATAAATTTAGTCAAAGTTCAAACTGTTTGACTCCTCAGAAAATAAGAATTATATTTTTTTGTGATCAGAGAGAGTAATTAGTATTTTTTTAATCGAGCGACAGTACTAAATGATACTATAAGCCTATCTCTACATGGAGATGCATGATCATCAGGGCTTGGTGGCTTTATTTTCTCCTATCTCCTTCATGACTAAGCCCTTATTTAGTTCCTCCTCTAAAGTTTACTTCCTATCCCATTGAATGTTAAACACATGCATGTAGTATTAAATATAGATTAAAAAATAACTAATTGTATAGTTTGTGACTAGTTTGCGAGACGAATCTTTTAAGTCTAATTAGTCCATGATTTGACAATGCGGTGTTACAGTAACACATATGCTAATGACGGATTAATTATGCTTAATAAATTCGTCTCACGGATTACTGACGGATTCTGTAATTTGTTTTTTTATTAGTATCCGAACACCCCATACAACACTCCCTTGTGACACCCGATATGACACTCTAAAATTTTACACCTTAAATTTAAACAAGCTAGCTCGAAAATAAATATATATGACATGCAGATACATGAACGTTCATTTTCACATTCATTTGCCAAAAAAACCTACATATGACGACGTCCAAATCCAAAACACATGACATTTTTTTTTTGCGAAACAAAACACATGACATATTTGTGCATGTTTCTCCTTAGATACAGATACAGTACTATACCAATATTGTAGAAATAGAAATAATATTTTTTTTAAAAATCATCAGTCCGTTCAGGAGGCCGTATCGTATCGTGGATTATTTACTGCTGATTGGTTTGGTATAAGAGAAAAACACTATTTCCAGCTAGAAATTTAGGATCATTTACAAGCGAGCGAACAGTCTGCATGCACCTGTCTCTCTCTCTCTGCTAGTAGCAATTACGATGCGCAATAAATGCGGATTGCACCACCTCAACACTAGTCCGCAATAACTCCTTCCTCCCTTCTCCACATTCTCTTCCACCTCCGTCCGTTCCCCTTCCTTCTCCTCTTCCTCTTCCTCCTCCCCTCCTCCCCTTCCATGGCCGCCGCTTAGCTTCTCAAGGCCTCCTCCCTCTCGCCACACACCTCCTGCTAGCTACCCTTCTGAGCTTCCAAAGTCTTGCTGCATCGTCACATCTTGAGAGCTGCAGCAGGGAGAGATCGATCAGAGTTCTATTTTTGCAGAGGCACACAAACATATATAGTTCTTCGTTCTGCTAGATCTCGCTGCCAGTCAGCTCGCAGCGAAGGTTCTCTGGGCTACCTTGTCGCTAGATCTGTTGCTGGTCGTGTTGTTACTTGGCAGGCAAGGTATATTAGTATATATCTCCATATAGGAATAGGATTGGCGCCGCCTGTTCTTTGGCTGTAAGGGAGATACTACGCATGTGCCAGTGAAGAAATGGAAAGGAGCTAGTGAGGCGGCAATAAGAATCAGGGTTTGAAGAGGACGTGAGAGGAGAAATGATGATCCCGGCGAGGCACATGCCGCCGATGATCGTCCGGAACAGCGCCGCGGCGTACGGGTCCTCGTCGGCACTGTCGCTGGGCCAGGTAATCTCAGTTTTCTGTCTCTTTCTTTGGGCTTGTTTATTGAGATAAAAAGACTCTGCCTATTAGCTTCTTCGATTCTCTCTTTTCTTTGGGAAAAATCAGAACTTGTTGTTCTCTTGTATTTTTGTGCTCTCTTTCTTTCTCTGGGTAAACTTTTCTTCCTTTGATTTGAGGTCTCAGTCTCATCAGCACTAGGATTAGAGGAGTACTGCAATATGCATGTACTGATCCTGCAAGGATTAGCTTTTTCCTTGAAAACTGAGAAGTCTCTGAGAGAGAGAGAGAGAGAGAGAGAGAGAGAGAGAGAGAGAGAGAGAGAGAGAGAGGGTGTATCTATGTCCAGTACTTAGTTGGCTGCTGTTCACACATAGATTAGGTCATCGGAGTGCATGAGCCCCATTTCTTTAAGACTTGCTCCTCCTATATAAAGGGGCAGATGAATGGGCCATCAGCTTGGCAACAGGGAAGACTTCGATCCCTGCAGGTTCCTGCTGATCACAATTCACACACACAGATCAACAGGTAGGTTGTTAGTAGTTGCGTTGCTAGCTTCTTCCATCTCTTTGGGTCTCTTGTGGCCCATGGGACAAGAAATCTACCTTTAGTTTCTTCTCTTTCACATCTCCTCAGTCCTACATGTGTACCAAACGACACCCCCCCCCCCAAAAAAAATGAATTTCCTTCCCAATTTATACCTTGGAGCGACCCTTCCATTTCGTCCCTCAATTACTTGGCTCCGTCAGTACATTCTCTTGAAAATTTTCTTTTTGCTCTTGCACTAGATATTTTCGATTTTATCTTGTCGTCGTCCCTTGAACTTTTCCACCATGTCCAGTCCAGCTACAAATTAATGGCGACGAGCGATGAAACGCACGGAACATATATGCCTCAACAGGCAAACGTCCCAGTCGTCGATCTCTGGCACTTAATTGTTTTGGATTGTTTTGGATGATTGAATAGTATTATGTGAAATAAGTGTAAACTGCGTTCGGCTGGTATACTTTACTGCGTTCGGCTGGTACATTTTCAGCTTGTTTCAGCTTATTCTCTCTCACATAATACTATTCAATCATCCAAAACAATCCAAAAATCATTAATTTCAACTCGTTTATGCAAACGGTACAAACAAAACAAGTTGATGTTGAGTTGTTTCTCCTTGCTTAATTGCTTGCAGCCGAACCTGCTGGACAGCCAGCAGCAGCTCCAGCTCCAGCAGGCGCTGCAGCAGCAGCACCTGCTGGATCAGATCCCCGCGACGACGGCGGAGAGCGGCGACAACATGGGGCACGGTGGCAGCGGCGGCGGCGGCCGGGGGTCCGACTCGCTGGGCGACGAGTTCGAGAGCAAGTCCGGCAGCGAGAACGTGGACGGCGTCTCCGTGGACGACCAGGACCCCAACCAGCGGCCCAGCAAGAAGAAGCGCTACCACCGCCACACCCAGCATCAGATCCAGGAGATGGAAGCGTACGTAATGACACTCGTGCTCTACCTGCTTTTCTACTAGTTAATTTGTTCTCTTTTCCTCATTAATTTTTCATAGATTGTTCTCGGATGTCATGGTGATTAAGGGTCAGTTTGGATGCCGAAATTTTTGGCGAAATGCTACCGTAGCGTTTTCGTTGTTATTTGGCAATTAGTGTCCAATCATAATCTAATTAGACTTAAAAGATTCGTCTAGTGGATTTCGTCTAAACTGCGTAATTAGTTTTATTTTTTATTTATATTTAATGCTTCATACATGTGTCCAAGATTCGATATGACGATGAATCTTTAAAAATTGGGTATTTTGAGAGGAAACTAAACAGCCGGTAAATTTGCATTGACTTTTGCCTGTCAATGTTTAGTTTACAAAAAGAGATACGCATAAAATGTTGTTGGTTTACTGAATTTAATAAGGAGAGAGACGACAAGCTGGTCATCAGTCGGTTAGAGCATTCACTGAGCTGAGACTACTGATGTAAGCTTACGCAGAAGTCAAATTGAGTTCTTGCTCGTCCATATCCTTCTCCTTCACAAAGTATTGCATTCGTTGACCCAATGCAAACGGTTTTTGTTCTTTAGCTCTCCTTCTCTCGAAGTAAAACCAAAAAAAAAAAACATAGCATTCAAGAAGTAGGACTTTGGCGTTCACACTGAACTTCCGTTCTCTTGCTAGTTTTTTTCTTCCAAATTTTCTCTAGAAACATTAATTAGTTCGTTGTCACCCACAGAATGCTCATCTTTTCATCTGAAATTGATTGATTCATGGATGTCCAGTTTCTTCAAGGAATGCCCGCACCCGGACGACAAGCAGCGCAAAGAGCTGAGCCGCGAGCTGGGGCTGGAGCCCCTCCAGGTCAAGTTCTGGTTCCAGAACAAGCGCACGCAAATGAAGGTGATGATCTTGACTAATCTCACTCTCTGATCTCTGCGATTTGATCTAAATTTTGGGGCTGCGTTCTGCATGTTCGCTTGCTCATAAACGATCGTAAATTTTCAGTCGGGAACCGTGTTTTTCTCTCAAACCAAACCAACCAGCAGTAAATAATCCACGATACGACACAGCCTCCCGAACAGGCGTGCTGACAGGCAGCATTCATGGCCTATTACTATAACTGGACAAAGCTCGGCCACACACCCCCATGTCCTCTTCTGCATGCGCGCTGCCAAATGTCCTGCCGCAGCCCTGCCAAGCACTGGCTGGCACCAGCCATGGTCAAATCCCACCCCATGCATCATGCATGTCTTCCTCCTCCATGCATCATGCATGTCTTCCAACAGCTGCCGATTACCATGCATTGCTACTGCACTTAATGCATGGTTTATATATTTGTTAGTGTAGTGGACAACAAACAGCTAATCCGTGCAGTAGAGACGCTCCATCGTAGCAGGGTTCATGCGAATTTTGCTGTAACTGCGAAAGAAACTCGAAATTTTTTAATACACTAATACATGCTATAACTCTAATCTTATATTTTTCTATTGTTTATATTATATTCTTCTATTTAATAGATATGTAGTGGACTAATATTTGTTTAGATCCAAATTTTTAGAGAAAAACAAACAGCTAATCTCTAAAAAATCCGTGCATTTAGAAAGACGCTGGTGACCGAAATCGTGGACCGAAATTAAAAACCTTGACCGTGATCCATGGCGTGTGGATTGACTTGCAGAACCAGCACGAGCGGCAGGAGAACTCGCAGCTGAGGGCGGAGAACGAGAAGCTGCGCGCCGAGAACATGCGGTACAAGGAGGCCCTCAGCAGCGCGTCCTGCCCCAACTGCGGCGGACCCGCCGCCCTCGGCGAGATGTCCTTCGACGAGCACCACCTCCGCGTCGAGAATGCGCGCCTCCGGGAGGAGATCGACAGGATCTCCGCCATCGCCGCCAAGTACGTGGGCAAGCCTATGGTGTCCTTCCCCGTGCTGTCCAGCCCGCTCGCCGGGGCACGTCCATCGCCGCTGGACATCGGCGGCGCCGTGGGGGGTGCCGCTGCGTATGGCGCTGCCGATATCTTCGGTGGCGGTGTCGCTGCTGGTGCGGCCGGGGACCTGCTGAGGGGCGCCGTGCAGTCGGACGCCGACAAGCCTATGATTGTTGAACTGGCCGTCACGGCCATGGAGGAGCTGGTCCGGATGGCGCAGCTGGACGAGCCGCTGTGGAACGCGCCGGGCCTTGATGGATCTGCTGAGACGCTGAACGAGGAGGAGTACGCACGCATGTTCCCTGGCGGGCTCGGCCTAAAGCAGTATGGGTTCAAGTCGGAGGCATCACGCGACAGCTCCGTCGTCATCATGACCCATGCCAACCTCGTCGAGATCCTCATGGACGTGGTATGTACGTGTGATCGATGTGCAATGAGTACAATGTTTTCCTTGCATATATAGTTCTTGTGATAAAACATCAGGATATTTGATCTGATTATTGCTGGCTTTGATCTTCTGAATGTTAATTCAACTTCTCTATATGAGCAGAATCAGTATGCGACGGTGTTCTCGAGCATTGTGTCGAGAGCCGCGACGCTGGAGGTGCTATCCACTGGCGTGGCTGGGAACTACAATGGTGCATTGCAAGTGGTGTGTGTTCTGAAATTTGGGATGCATATAGGTAGTTTGATGTCATCCGTTGATTGCTGAAGCTAGACATGTCCCATGTTGGGCATTTTGCAGATGTCAGTTGAGTTTCAGGTGCCTTCCCCATTGGTGCCGACCAGGGAAAGCTATTTCGTGAGATACTGCAAGCAGAACGCTGATGGATCATGGGCCGTTGTCGACGTCTCACTGGACAGCCTGCGCCCCAGCTCAGTCCTCAAGTGCCGGCGCCGGCCGTCAGGATGTCTGATCCAGGAAATGCCCAATGGCTACTCAAAGGTCTGTGGTCTGTACATGATTGATTTTTCCAGTCTTCAGATATTCTCAGTAGCTGATGGTTCAGACACTAATCGTAAGATATGTACTGTATTTATCTAAACAAAACTGATATTTGTAGTACATTGCACTGTGTGTCAGGTGACCTGGGTGGAGCACGTCGAGGTGGACGACAGGTCGGTGCACAGCATCTACAAACTGCTGGTGAACGCTGGGCTCGCCTTCGGTGCACGCCGGTGGGTTGGAACGCTGGATCGCCAGTGCGAACGCCTTGCTAGTGTCATGGCCAGCAACATTCCAACCAGTGACATCGGTGGTAAAGCTCTGTACCATGCATCGCAGCACACCATATGCTCTCTCTGTCCAATTGAATCCCTCAAAAAAGTTCATATCCTTATGAAACAAATCATTTGCTGCAGTGATCACTAGCACGGAGGGGAGGAAGAGTATGCTGAAGCTGGCTGAGAGGATGGTGATGAGCTTCTGTGGTGGAGTGACGGCCTCGGCTGCACACCAGTGGACAACGCTGTCAGGCAGTGGTGCTGAGGACGTCCGTGTCATGACCAGGAAGAGCGTCGACGACCCTGGCAGGCCACCGGGCATAGTCCTCAATGCTGCCACCTCTTTCTGGCTCCCAGTCCCGCCCAAGCGTGTCTTCGACTTCCTTCGTGATGAAAGCTCTCGCAGCGAGGCACGCACACACCCATACCTAACAATTTCGTTCATCATGAACACATTCTGTGAACCGCATTTCTTTTTCTTTTTTGCAGTGGGACATCCTCTCCAATGGCGGCGTCGTTCAAGAAATGGCTCACATTGCCAATGGCCGTGACCATGGCAACTGCGTCTCGCTTCTTCGTGTCAATGTAAGCATGATGAGTTTGGCTTGTCATTCATCGAAGCATGCGATAACGCTTGCCTTCTAACATGTTGACGTTGTTTGCTTCTGCGTCATCGTCACAGAGCACGAACTCGAACCAAAGCAACATGCTGATCCTGCAAGAGAGCTGCACTGACGCATCAGGCTCGTACGTCATCTATGCGCCAGTGGACGTGGTCGCCATGAACGTTGTCCTCAATGGTGGTGACCCTGACTATGTGGCGCTCCTACCCTCTGGCTTTGCCATCCTGCCTGACGGCCCGGCAGGCAGCAACATGCAAGGCGATGGTGGCGTCGGCTCAGGTGGATCACTCCTGACGGTGGCGTTCCAGATACTGGTCGACTCTGTCCCCACAGCCAAGCTCTCCCTGGGGTCGGTGGCGACAGTGAACAGCCTCATCGCCTGCACCGTGGAGCGCATCAAGGCGGCGGTCTCCGGCGAGAGCAATCCCCAGCAGTAGCTTCGTTGAATCAAACAGTGTTCTTATCCTTTGCGCTGAAGGTATGCAGAAAACCAAATCACATCAAGATCATAATTTGCAAGATTTCATATTATTGTTTAGTCTGAATACTGATGAAATCTGATCATCAATGCCTTTGCAGGAGCAGCAAATTTTAGAGCTTTCATCAGTGGGAAGTCAAGAACGCACCTCAGACTCTCCTTGCCATGTGGTCCTCCTCATAGTTTGGGTTATTTTTCGCCTACTTTCCCCAGAATTTCTGGGTATTATTCCAAGAAATATTTCAGTCGCAGAAGAAAATGAGTCACCACTACGCAAGGGTAGTTGGTTCGGGTATTGACTTCCTCTTCATGTTGGCCTCTCGGATGCTGCTACCTCTGAATTTAGGCTTCTTTTTCTTCTCTTGTGGAGTACAAAACCGTTATTTAGCATGTAATTTGTGCTGTTGCTGCAGTTGTTCAGACTTGTTCAGTATCCTGGATTCCCCAAATAGAGATTTGTTTCCGTTAGGTTTTATACATCTGCAGTGCTTCTTATGTCTAGCCACCATTTCAGTACCAAACGTGCCTGTGTAACGTGGTTGCATACTTGCAATGTTGTTGAATGTCTTCGTCGCTATCTTGCAGCTTTAAGTTCTCAATTAATTTAGTTATGGCCATGGAATGCCACTCTCAATAATATTGCTGCTTTCGACCTTAAGTTTCTCGTCAGAATAAGCTATATACATCCTGGGTAAGATGGCTGCATTCCTTGGGCATGCCGTTTCAATGTCCGAGATTTCGTCACCAGGTATCATATCTGAGCATGTATTTCATACAAAACAGCTCCTTAAGACGCACTTACAAAATCTGAGATGTATATTTATGACACTACTCTGATCCTCATCTCAGAAGATGCAATATCATTCGTTCCATGTACAAACTCGAGTGCATCTGAGTGCTCTGAAATAGTCAACCATGTGAAGTACAAGACTTACAAGCATTCTGCTAGAGAAACAAAATTGGATGTTCAGACCAGCTCTTTTTCTTGAAAAGGAACTTGGATCTTCAGCATGCTATGATCACAAAATAAGGTCGCAATATATGCACATGGCATCGCTAGAGAAATCATGCCTCAACCGATGCACTCGTGAAGATATTTTCTTCATTCTGTTGGGAGGAGGTCGGTAAATGAAAAATCATGAAACGGTGGACCTGCAATACATGTTGAGTTCAGGTGTAACTTTGGCATTTTCTCTATAAGATAATATTACGAAAAGCATACCATGAAAATATTTTACATAAGCAAACAGCAAGTTTGTTTAGACAGTGTCTCTTCCCTGCTATGACACTTTAGTTTTAGCACCTCAGTTAAAATGCACAAGTTTCATATCGCTGGTGCAGCAAGGCTTTTTGCTTTTTGCTCCCGGTTGGGAAACCTCTTTAGTCCCGGTTTCTCAATCGGGAGCACTAATCCGGAACTAAAGGTACCCTCCTTTAGTCCCGGTTTGACGTCCGGGACTAAAGGGGGGCCTTTAGTACGTCCCGGTTGGAAACACCAACCGGGAGTAAAGGGGGCCTCCAGGCCTGGCCAGGGACCGCCATGGGGCAGGACATTGAGTCCCGATTGGTGTTACCAACCGGGACTAAATGTCCCTCTTTTTTTTTCTTTTTCTGTTTTCTATTGTTGGTTTCTTTTTTTATTTAATGATTAGTTTTGATATTAAAATACATTTTCGAATACGCTGCTAATAGTAATATATATGTGTACTTCGCACGCGTAAGTTTTCGTTCGAACTTTGTACATAAATAACAAACGAATATACTCATACATGCATATATATATATGATGATCATATATATACACACGTTATTTTATGTACATATAATATGTGCATACATATATATATATATATATATTACAAATGTTTGATATATAAATTGTTTATGTCCTTAGCAATTCACTCCTCCAGATTTGGCATCCACGTTTCGTTCGGGTCATTGTAGAACTCGCCGTTGGGGTTGATTACCTGGTCATTTAGAAATCCTGCTATAGTCTCTCGAATTGCTTTAAGTTGGTCAAGTCGTATAACTCTTTTCCTCAACCATTCAGTCTTCAATAAAAGTTAACGGGAAAAAGTATATATATATATATATATATATATATATATATATATATGTGTGTGTGTGTGTGTATGTGTATTGCTCATGTAATTACTTATACAAATGAGAGCAATAAAGAAATTATAAATATACGATCGAAATAATATAAAGGAAAACATATTTATATACGTACTTTGAGTTGCTCTTCAGGAGTTCTCTTTGAGTACGCCATGATAAACTCGCAAACATAGTATCCGCAGTAGTTGTTATCCTGCTCCTGCCTTAGAACCCACTTTTACGACAAAAAAAATCAATTAGGGTGACTTGAAATCATCGTATGGTGTTAATTGAATATAAATGTATAGTTATTGTACTTACTTTGTGTGCGATTACACCCAGTGGCGCTTTGCAATGTTTCATTTTTTGTTCCTCAATAAACCTTTTCCAAACCCTGCTCCCAATAAAATAAAAAAATAATTTAACCTTTAATAATTGTTGAGAGATCGGCGCCATTATATATATATATATATATATATGTTGTTATAGAGAAACTAAATTAATTACCCTTGTATAATATCTATCATGTCTTGATACTCCGTTTGCGGTTTTCTCAACGAGTCTAAGATTTTCAATCTACTATTGGCCATATCAATGACCATCAATATCCAGTGATTGCTGCATAAACATATATATATATATATATGTGTGTGTGTGTAAGGTAACTAGCTAGTAAGTAAATATTGATGTCCCATATATATAATCGACATTAATTACTTATAATAGCACTCACTTGAAGTTGTAGGGGAAGAGTATCTCCTTCTTGTCGCGTTGGTTCACTAAGAAATTCATGAGATTTCTTTCAGGCTGAGGCTTATAATCCTTCGGGGGGTTAGGGTGTTTGTATACGACATACAGATCAACGAACCCAACATCATTATCCTTTCTCTTTCTAAGTTCTGTCATCTCATATCTGCATACATGAAAATTATGAATATATATATATATATATATATTGTGAATATATAATAAAGAAATTGTGAATATAGTAGAAAATAATCACACTTACAGACAATAGCAGCTAATGAGACTTTTGTCGAGGGAGTCCAGGTGGCATAGTTGGTGTAATTCTGGAAGCTCGACATAGATAATGTCATTGCCACGGAAGTTATGGTGGTTTCTAATTCTGACAGAAAGATAGATTTGTCCCGCATCAGACGCCGACATGTACTACCCGTTTAGCAGGTACATTTACGTACCCAGTTCACCTAATTTCTCTGGGTTGTATAGACTCTGGCCTGGTACAAATTTCTTGTAAGGATCCACTTCCGGAGCAGATGGTCCTTCAGCGAGCACTTCGGCAAGGTTCAAATTTAAACCAGTGTCCTCATAAAACCGAAGAAACGACTCATAGCCGCCTACCTCCTCCACTAAGTTTAAGTTTGAACCATATTTGTTAGGAACGACAAGGGGGGATTGATTGTTGCGATTGTTGTCCGAGTTGTGCAACACCTTTCCATACTCTCTTCTTTTTTTGCGCCGCCTCATATGACTTGGTGAGAGAGCGGTCATAGTCCGATATCGGTTGTTTCGCGACGCTCTTAAGAGAATCCTGTTTTTTTCCAACTTCTTTCTTAGCTGATCTGAAGGTAGGAAGAAGTATGATGGCTCCGGGTTCTCCCTCGCTCGTCGTGCCTGTTTTGCGCCTTTAAAGAAATATGTCACTTCTTTTTGTACTGCATCCTTTAATTCCTGTTCACTTTTCTCATAAGATAGTTTTTGGAAATAACTGGATGAGTATTTGCTTTCTGCTTCTTTGCCGGCGGGCAGGGCAACGGCTTTGTTTGCGGGGCAGACCTCTTAGGGGTTGGCTTCCTTGGAGACGGGGGAGACGTTGGAGACCGCCTTGGAGGCAGTGCAGACTTTGGAGGCGACAGAGGCGTTGGAGACCTCGGCGGAGGAGTTGTGGACTTCCTTGGAGGCGGTGAAGGATTGGAGATGGTGGGGATGCAGCAGTGCCTTCGAAGGCGTCATCATTGCCCTGAGCACTATGATGGTCGGGAGAAGCAACAACTGGACTTTGGTTGGCAGAGTCCCTGCTTTGTGAGTACAAAAAATAATGAGATATAAGTAAATGCTTATTATTAGTCATGCCCATAGAAAATTATCAAAAAATTGTTTTGTTAACTTTTGTCCGCACCTAATGTCTGCTGGCGGTGGAGCAGACGCCCCAGGGATAATGATGTAGCGCTTGCGCCATAGTATATATGCTTTCTCTGCTTCTCCTAGAGTCTTCTCTCCATCACCTTCAGGAATGTCAAGAGCTAGATCCTCATAACCTTTGCTCACTTTATCCACTGCGACCCTAGCATATCCAGGTTGTATTGGTGCCCCATGGATTCTTGGTGTCTTGGTATGGTCTAGAGGAGTAAAAACACCGACATCGACCTTGATTGTGTCATTCCCCCTTGGAACATGTAACTCAATTGATGTCATTGGAGTAGTGACATCATTCACGAGGAAGCGCAGCGCTGCGTCATCTTGCTTTGGCAGCTCAGTGGAAGCGCAGCTGCTTTTCAACTGACCAGGGGGGCTAATATTAACATTCATTCCTGGCTCTGATGCCTGCCTCTGGGCACTCATTGCTATCTGCACTTGCTTTCTGATTTCTTCCTGCATTTTTGCTTCCATTGCTTTTTCTTGCTCCTTTGCTTCAAGCACCATTTCCTCCAACATTGTCACCCGCGCTGCTTGCTCCTCCTTGCTTCTCTGGCGGCTTCGGTAGGTTTCCCTGTCATTAGGGAAACCATGAACCCATGGAGTGTTGCGTCCTAAGCCTCTGGTTCAGCCAGTGTGTTCAGCAGTCCCGATGGCATACGTCAGCTCATCCTTCTCTCTATTGGGCTTGAACACACCAATCTC